ATCCCAGTCTCATTCCTTAGGGATCCCAGTCTCATTCCTTAGGGATCCCAGTCTCATTCCTTAGGGATCCCAGCATCATTCCTTAGGGATCCCAGTCTCATTCCTTAGGGATCCCAGCATCATTCCTTAGGGATCCCAGACTCATTCCTTAGGGATCCCAGCATCATTCCTTAGGTCATACCAGCATTATGCACTAAAGAATCCAGGTGACAATTCCCTAAAACACCCCAGTGACACCCCGTAAAGCATTCCAGTTTACTCCCCTACATCATTCCAGTGCCATCCCCTACAGACCCCCAGTATCATTCCCTACAACACCCCAAACCATTCCAGCCCCATCCCCTCCATCTCCGCTGTTCCCAGTCCCCAGCATTGCTTCTCCCCACCCCCCAGCAGACCCTGTTCCCCCCTTCCCCCCCTTCCCCATGTGCCGCCACAACCTCTATAAATATTCAAAAAGCCGCGTTTTCCGGCCAAGCGCCCAGCTCGGGGTGGGGGCTCCCGAGGGAAATGGTAATAACGGGGCTGCCAGGGATTCCCCCCGGGCAGCGGGAAGGGGGGGCTCAGCCACTCATTTGCCCAGACAAATATCTTGTCGCTCCTCATTACGGTCTTCGTGCCTCAGTTTCCCCACCCGCTGCTGCCCGGCGAGGGTCGAGAAGATTCAGGAGGAGTAAGGAAGCAGCAAAAATAGGGAGGGATAATGAGGACAACGAAGTGTGGAGGAAGCCTCTCCCCCACCTAAAAAGTTTGGGGGGGGCGGTGATTTGGGCAAAGCCTGGGCAAACAACCACTAATCGCCGAATCAAGCGGCAATTAAACGCCGCGGCGGCGAGAATAAATCTGCTAACAAGGAGGCAATGCCCCCGCGCTCGGTGTTTGCCCAGCTGATTAACGGGGATGAATCTGAGGGGGATTATCCATCGGGATGAGGCGGCTCCTTTGTCTCCATTCCCCATCCCGAGCTGTCTCAGAGGAGGTATTGGGTGCGCGTGTGTCACCCCCGGGAGCCCATCGATGCAGCCGCAGGACTCATAGCGGGATTAATACAGAGGTGCTTTAATCCCTGGGGCTCCCAAAACCTCCAGGATCCCCATTAAAAACTCTCCCGTCTTCCAGGCACTCCATGAAAAGGGGCCCAAAAGCTGTCCAGGGATTAACATCCTTTTCCATCCTGTAGTCCCGTGTCGAAGATGTCCCATCCCTTGGCTCAGCTCTCCAAAGCGAGAAGGTGGGGAAACAGAGCAGCTTTTAATATTCCAGCGTTGCCATCAACTCCCATCCCGGAGAATTATTCAGATAATAGTTGGATAAACCTGTTATTCTACGGATAATTTATTTCTCCTTTTTTTTTTCTTTACTTTTTTTTTTTTTTTTTTGATCCTACTGAGAAATCCCTGGGCTGCTGCATCCCCAGCAGGAGAAACGGAAAAGCTTTGTGCTCCTATTAAATTAATATTTATTTACTTTCTCCGTGCCCAGCTCTGAGAGGGATGGATGAATAATGCATCACCCCCTGGACACCCAGATAGGAGCTTTGGATCTGACAGATTCGGTGGGATATGGAGAGCCCAGAGGGTGCTGGTGGCTGAATGGTCCCAGATGTGCACAGGAGTCCAGATGTGTGCCTGTCTGAGGCCCCAGCACAGCTGAGAGAGAAGCAAGCCTGTGCAAGCTCTCCAGATGTGCAAGCTGTCCAGATGTGCACTCACCTACCTCCTACTTATGCCTCCAGATGTGCACAAATAGAAACCACCCGTCTCTCCAGATGTGCTTGAGCATCGCTGTGCCTTCAGCTGTGTGCCCAGCTGTGACCCTGGGGAGCCCTCCAGCTGTTTGCCCAAACGTATGTGCATCCCCCAGACCATCCAGCCCTCCCAGATGTGAACATCACAGAGATCCTTGGTGCCCCAGATGTTCGTGGAAAAGCCTCCCCTCTCCCCAGCTGTGTCCCAAGAGTCCTCCAGATGTGAACTCCCTTTGGGGCACCTTTGCCTCCCCCCGCCCAGATGTGCAAACGTGCTTGGGCCCATTTCCTCTGCTGCTGTGCATCCAGATGTGAAGTGCCTTCTCCCTCGCCCTGTCCCAGATGTGTACACCCAGATGTGTGTCCCCCATCCTTCCCCATCACCCCTTCTCCTCCACACCTCCTCTCTCCCCCCAAGCCCCTCCGGGTTCCCCACACTCCCGACTCCCCCTTTTTCCCCACCTTTGCCCCATTCCAAGTGCCACTGTAACACCCCCCTTAACAAATCCCCCTAATAAAGCCTCCTATTAAAGAACACCCCTAAATAACAAACTCCCCTATAATGGACCTCCCCTAAACTCCCTCCCCCCTACAGAGGGCTCGCTGGAGGAGGCTCTTTGCTTCCCACATCAGCCCCAGCGCATTAATTAAGTGGCCAATTGCTAATTACGGATTCAATGGCATCATGTGCCGATTCCTGTGTGTTCCCTTCCTCCCCGCAAATTCAAGGCCACTGGTGCTCCCAGCACTCCCGAAGTGCCCTCACCCCTGCCAGCGCCCCCCGGGGTTGGGGTACGTGGCCCCCCCGAGCAGCCGCGGTTCCCCGTGGGGTGTGTGGGTGACGCTGCCTTTTGGGGTTCATTGAGGGGGGTCCCGAGTGGAGGGTGACAGCAGCCCTGTGTGGTGTCACCTAACCTGGTGTGAAGCCAGGGAGCTGCTCACCCTCTTCCTCCTTCTGCTCCCTCCAATCCGAGGATTCCCCTTTTCCTTTGCTCCCCCAAAAGTCACCCCCATTCCCCTCCACCGTGGAGTCCCCACCCCGTACGGGACACACCCCCTTCTGCCCTCATCCCGCTTCTCAGGGAGGAGGGGGGGACACAGGGACACCCCTATCTCCCCCCGCCCAGCACAGCCCTGGCCCGTCCCCCCACCCGGGAGGCGGTGCCGCAGGCTGAGCCGAGCCGAAGTGAGCCGAGCCGAGCCGGGCTGAGCCGCGCTGGGCTGAGCCGCGCTGGACTGAGCCGAGTCGGGCCGGGCTGAGCCGGGCTGGGCTGAGCCGAGTCGGGCCGGGCTGAGCCGCGCTGGACTGAGCCGAGTCGGGCCGGGCTGAGCCGGGCTGGGCTGAGCCGAGTCGGGCCGGGCTGAGCCGGGCTGGGCTGAGCCGAGTCGGGCCGGGCTGAGCCGCGCTGAACTGAGCCGAGTCGGACCGGGCTGAGCCGGGCTGGGCTGAGCCGACCCGAGCCCAGCCAAGCAGAGTCGAGCTAAGCTGAACCGGACCGGGCTGAGCCGGTCTGGGCTGAGCCGAGCTGAGCTGAGCTGGTCTTAGCCGTGCCGGGTCGTGTGGTGCTGAGCCAAGCCCAGCCGAGCCGAGCCGAGCCTTGGCAGGATGCTGCGGTACCTGCTGAAGACGCTGCTGCAGATGAACCTGTTCGCCGACTCGCTGGGGGCCGAAGGCTCCAACTCTTCCTCCTCACTCCTGCTCGGCATCAACCGCTCCATCGCTGCGCTCCACCTGCCCGATCTCACCCCCGGTAATGGTACGTGGCCCCCGGTCCCGCTGTCCTCCCGTCCCGGGGTTCCCACTTCTGGTCCAGACAGAATGCTGGAAGTCCCGCGGCCCCCCCGCCCCAGCCGGGACCCCGCCGGCACCGACACTGGGCTCCCAACCTGGTCCCGTGGCCCCAAACCGGGACCTGCCCCATGTCCCCAAACCGGGACCTGCCCCATGTCCCAACTTCGGGATGGAGCTGATGCCCCCAAACCGTCCCTGTGTCCCCAAACTGGGACCTGCCCCGTGTCCCGAGTCCAGGACTGACCCTGCCTTCCCACACCAGCCCCACGTCCCCATTCCGGGACCGGCTCCTTGTCTCCAGACCAACTCCCCGGGAGTGATGCTATGTCCCCAGATAGTGTCCATGGCCCCAAACCGAGACCAGACTGCTGTCCCCAAGTCAGGACTGACCCAGTGTCCCCAGACTAGCTCTGTGTTCCCAATTCTGATGCAGGAGAAGTCCCTATTCCCAAACTGTCCCTGTGTTCCTACATCAATGCCCAGACTGCGAGCTGGGACAGACATGTCATTCCCAAATTGGTCCTATGTCCCCGAACCAATCTCCAGACTCCAAAGTGGGGGTGACTCAGTATACTCAAACAGTCCCTCTGTCCCCACGCCCATCCTCAGTCTCTGAACCAGGACCAGTCCCATGTCCCCAGGCTGCCCCTGTGTCCCCAAACCAACTCCCAGACACCGAATTGGGAGAGACTCCATGTCCTCAAACCACCCCTGTGTCCCCAAACTATTTCTACATTCCTAAACCATCCCAGTGTCCCCCCACCAGGTCCGCGTCCCCTAATTCTCTCCGTGTCCCCAAACCAGCCCCGTGTCCCCTAGCTGGGACAGAGCAGCGGTGGGGGGAGGAGATGAGGGAGGGGCGTCTGCCTGAATTTTAACCCCATTTTGGGCTTTTTCCCTCTTTTTTGGTCTGAACGTCCCCCTCCATCTGGCTCTGGGTGGCTGGTGAGGGAGGGGGTGTCCCCAAACCCCCCGGGACCCCCCGCCCCCGCACAGCCGGCTGGGCACAGGAGGGGGTCTGGCCTGACCCCCCGCTCATCCCAATTAGCCACCGGGCCCAGCTGCGGCCCCCTCAGTCCCCGCTGTGCCCCCCGGGGGTACCCGGTACCCCGCAGCATCCCTCCCGTCCCCATGGCAGCCACATCCTGTCCCCATGGCAACCCCGCGGGCTCCCCAAATTGCAGCCCCCCCCCCCTTACATCCCGCCACAAGACTCTCGGGACAGGAGCAGGGGAAAGTAGACACACCTGTGCATGCGTGTGCATGTATGTGCAGGCATGTGTGTATGTATGTGCATGTATGTGTGGTGTGCATGTATGTGCGTGTATGTGAATGTGTGTGTATGTATGTGCATGTATGTGTGGTGTGCATGTATGTGCGTGTATGTGAATGTGTGTGTATGTATGTGCATGTATGTGTGGTGTGCATGTATGTGCGTGTATGTGAATGTGTGTGCATGATGTGCATGT